GGAACCCCCAGGTTATTTTTCAGGCCTAGAACTGGACTCATTGTCATGGATTGTCTCTCACTCAACAGTAGAAATACCTACATGCAGAACACCTAACCCAGGGTGATGCACCCACCTACTCTAGGGAAATGCACCCCTTGGAACAATCAGCCATGAGACACCAGAGGGGCAGCATTCACCTAGAGAGAAAGCTGGACAGACAGCAATGCATAGTGAAGAAGGACACAGGGAAGGGTAGTCACAGGACGGGAGGGAGGAGAGTTTGTTATGGTCAGGATGGTAATTGGGGTGTGAAACCAAATGCCCACAAAATGTTGAATGTAAAACAAATTTTGCTCTGTAAATTTGCACCCAAAGCACAATAAAATTTAAATAAATAAATAAAGTTAATACAAATAGCAAAAAAAAAAAAAGATTTTCAGCCTCATAAAGCCAATGGGGGTGGCTAAAAAAAAGTGATAAAGAGCAAAACTGTCTTTTTGAAGACTAAGGTGCACCTATCTCAAGACATGGGTTGGTTTGTTTGTTTTATTGTGATTTGAGTGGAAGTTTACAGAGCAAATTCAAATTCCATATAGCAGTTCACATACACTTTGTCTCATGACATTGACTATAATTTACCACAATGCAACAGCTCTGCTACCATTTACTCCCCAAAATGCCTCTTCCCTGTGTCCTTCCCTCCAGCCAGGGGTTTTGAGTCTCCTCATATGCACATGAAAGCTGGACAATGAATAAGGAAGACAGAAAAGTTGATGCTTTTGAGTTGTGGTGTTGGAGAATACTGAAAGTATATGGACTGCCACAAGGTCTATCAAATCAGGACTGGAAGAAGTGCAGCAAGAGTGCTCCTTGGAAGCAAGAATGGCCAGACGTCATCTCACCTGCTTTGCACATGTTTCAGAAGGACTATACCCTGGAGAAGGATGTCATGCTTGGTAAAGTAGAGGGTCAGCGAAAAAGGGGAAGATCCTCAATGAGATGCATTGACACAGTTGGTGCACAACGGGCTCAAGTACAGCAAAGATTGTGAGGATGGTGCAGGATTGGGCAGTGTTTCACTCTGTTGTACATAGGGCCACTATGAGTTGGAGCAACTCAATGGCACCTAACAATGACAAATAACAATGGGGAAACTATGCCAAATGTTAGCCATGATTTATTTGGGTGATGAGATTACAAAAGATTATCATTTCTCTCTCTCTATTTTTCCTCTAATAGAAGTTAATGCTTTTATTATCAGTAAAAGTTAATAAATGCTATTCATTATTCTTAAGTCTTTCCATCAAGAAAAGTATTCTATGACTTTGATACCAAGGGCTTTTGGGTAGAAGAGAAATCTGAATGACACCCATAAAGTCAACCCTGAAGCACGGACATGTAACATAAATCGCTAACTCCCTTTAGGATTGCCCTTGAAAAAGATCCAATACTTAGTGGGTCATTTGAAACTCATCATGTTTTAGAGTACATATGAGTTAATAATTCTAAAACAATTCTTGGGTAGTTCATACAGCTAAAGTGCTCACTGCTAACCAAAAGTTTGGAGGATCCAGTCCATCTAGATGCACATCAGAAGAAAGAACTGGAAATCTATTTCCAAAATATTAGCCACTGAAAATCCTGTGAAGCAAATATCTGATCTGATACTCATGGAGTAGCCC